CCTGTGGTGACATGGTAGTGGAGTCCCAAGGCAGCATAACATGTAGGAATTCTTGTGTTCATGACCACTTAACTTTCAGAACAGTGCAAGAGCATCACTTGTGTGTGTGTTCCTGTCTTTAACCGGTGTGACAGCAAATTATTTGTTGTGTTCAGGCTTGCATAAAAGAGATTCGGAGCATGCATCGTCAGGTAGGATTCTTGTGTTCATGACAACTTAACTTTCAGAACAGTGCAAAAGCATCACTTGTGTGTGTGTGTGTGTGTGTTCCTGTCTTTAATTGGTGTGACAGCAAATTATTTGTTGTGTTCAGGCTTGCATAAAAGAGATTCGGAGCATGCATCGTCACTTTTACGGTTATCTCATGAAATCAAACCTAATCTCACCTTCTGTTTTTAATACAACCAAAACCCAACCAAAATGTAAAATGCTGCACAGGATTGAAAGTGAAATAGGATCATAGAGAAATTTAACCTGACTTCTGTGAAGGTTCTGAAAAATTGCTTTATTTCTTCAAATAACTGTACACGCAACTCCTGAGTTGATTTAAACTTTAACTGTCACTCGCCTCTTGGCCCTATCGTCTCTTATTTGATTTTTTTTTTAATGTTAAGAGTTCATTTCCTGTCTGCTTCTGCAATTTCTGCATCACTGAAGCATTTCTTGCTGTTCCGCTGCCACTAGGCGCGGCAGGCTTGGACACTAGCCTGTACAGTATTAGCTATACCTACAGAGATGAGGCACATCCGTGCACTGGCGTGTCCCGGAGAATGGTGGATTTCATGACACAAGTTGAATTGTAAACACTGAAGTAGGAGCACGTGCCCTTTCCTAAAGGAGGAGACGGCACTGAGTGTAGCGCTGAGAGAGCATTCAGATCAGCAGCACGTGTAATGGACTCTTTACCTAACCGAGATTACTTCCTGATGGCGTAATGTTGCTGCTGCTGTTTGTTCCACCTCCTCAGGTGAGCCTGCCTGTCTCTGTATACGCTGCAGCTTCTCCAGGGCAGGAAATGTGAACGTAAGGAGCTGTTTTAGGAGAACAGGTAACAATATCTAAAGGTCAGCCTGCCCACAGTGGTAGGTGATGGCTGCTCAGTCTGCAGAGGACACGCACACTTCCTCTCCTTCACCTGTGTCTGCTCCCTGTTGCCTGCTGACTAGCAGATGCTCTCTCAAAAGTCTGTCATCAGACTAAGCCAGTAAGGATGGACAAGTTACAGGAAAATTTGATTTGACACTGGTTGTCAGAAAGACTAATTTGGGCAGGAGGACAAGCGGAAGAGTTGCTTTGCAGCCCGCCTCTGCTCATGTGTGACTTAACACTCATTCAGCACATACTTTGCAGTAACGGATGGCCTGTAGCCTTCTCGGGCTGTCTGGGTTTAACGTGAACATGCCCCAGCGCTGTGTACTCCCCAGCATAACTGGGGTAAGGGGAATCCTGCTCCTGACGGAAGGGCCTGACTATCTAGCTGAGTTGTCTCAGGCCAAAATGCCTTGGTGAACATTGGAGATGATCTTGTGCATCCACATGATCTGGTTTTTTTTCCATCGGAAGCTGTTGAGTCACCCTGTATGAAATGCTGGGCACTGACCTGTAACTGTAGGCATCCTTTAGGAATGCTCTTCAGTACTTTTTAACCTCCTTCTCTTCCATGCCCTATAGGAAGGAAAAGAGATGCTGTAAGTAGGACCACCACCATCATTGTAGTAATGAGTGTCTTGTAAGTACTCACTTGCATTACAGTGTGGCTTGACTCAAGCTCATCTTTATCTGTTATTTGTACCTCACTTGCATGTTAACGTGGCATGTAGCATGACAGGTCCTAACCTCGCTTGAACAGAGCACTCGGGCATAGTGCATTGACTTAAGGGGTGACACACAGGATGAAAATGCTGACTTGCCAAACTAGTCTGTCTTGCAGGTTTACCGAGGTCTGATCCTATTAAGTCTAGAATCTACTGATTCCTAGTTTTAAAAGTTAGAAGAGACACTGTTGGCATTC